CGTAAGCAGAAGCCTGACTTCAGAAATGCAGCTGTTTTGCTCCGCAGGGAGGTGCTCGTCACAGGTCAAAGCACAGGAGCCCAGCGGGCCACTGAGGCTTCGTGGCCGCAGGCAGCCTCCATGCCCTGGAGCCCGTTTTCCCTCCGTGAAATGGGGCTATTAAGACTTCCTCCAGGCTGGGCACCGTGGCTCACACCTGTAATCTCAGCTCTTTGGGGGGCCAAGGCGGGCAGATCACTTGAGGTCAGGAGTTTGAGATCAGCCTGGCCAACATGGTGAAACCCCGTCTCTACTGAAAATAGAACAATTAGCCAGGTGTGGGGGCACACACCTGTGATCCTAGCTACTCGGGAGGCTGAGGCAGGAGAACTGCTTTAGCCCAGGAGGCAGAGGTTGTAGTGAGCCGAGACTGTGCTGGTGCATTCCAGCCTGGGTGACATAGTGAGACTGTCTAAAAAAAAAAAAAAAAAAAAAAAAGAAAAGACTTCCTCCAGTATCTGTGCTTGGGATGATTAAATGAGACAGTGCAGAGTCTTTTGAGACATCAGCCTCCACCAGCACCTTGAGGCTGCTGAATACCACCTATCCCATCACTCCATCACAATACACTTCCATTCTGCTTATTTTCTTTTCTTTTTTTTTTTTTGAGATGGGAGTCTCCCTCTGTAGCCCAGGCTGGAGTGTAGTGGTGAGATCTCGGCTCACTGCAACCTCTGCCTCCCAGGTCCCAGTTCAAGCAATTCTCCTGCTTCAGGCTCCTGAGTAGCTGGGATTACAGGCATGCACCAGCACACCCAGCTTATTAGTAGAGACAGGGTTTCATCATGTTAGCCAGGCTGGTCTTGAACTCCTGATCTCGTGATCTGCCCACTTCGGTCTCCCAAAGAGCTGGGATTACAGGCGTGAGCCACCACGCCCGGCCACTCTGCATATTTTCTTAAATAAGTGTATTTTTAGAGGCTCCTTGGTAGCACTGTCATATGTGGTGGATCAATGTCACTTGCCATAAATAGATTACACATTAAAAGTCACCCTTCACAATAGTGCTAAAACTCAGCCATCTGTGTCCCACCCAACATCAGCTCACACAGCCCCAGATTTGGAGACACTGTGAGATGAGGATGTAAGTAACAAGCTTCTTAGGTAATGACGGCAGAAAGGCAGGCAGAGGGGACACGACTTCTAAATCAATCCTGCAAGCTTGCTGTTAGGGCTCACGTATGGCTGCCTTTTATCTTTCTTTCTTCCCTCCCTCCCTCCCTCCCTCCCTCCCTCCCTCCCTCCCTTCCTTCCTTCCTTCCTCTCTCTGTCTCTCTCCCTCTTTCTTTCTTTCTTTTCTGGCCCCTGTCCCTCCTCTCCCCTCCGCTCCATTCCCCGTCCCTTTTTTTGAGACAGAGTCTTGCTCTGTCACCCAGGCTGGAATGCAGTGGTGAGATCTCGGCTGACCCCAATCTCCACCTCTCAGGTTCAAACAGTTCTCCTGCCTCAGGCTCCCCAGCAGCTGGGACTACAGGCGTGCACTACCACGCCCAGTCATTTTTTTGTATTTTTAGTAGAGATGGGGTTCCACCATGTTGGCCAGGCTGGTCTCAAACTCCTAAGCTCAGGCAATCTGCCCGTCTCAGCCTCCCAAAGTGTTAACGATTACAGGCATGAACCCCTGCTCCTGGCCTGCCTTTCGTATTAGGTAATTTTAAAAATTACAGTTAAAAATCAGCCAAGGCAAGAGGGAGGTATTTCATATCTTTACATTAACGATGTTGTTTTAAAATGAGAAAAGCAGGTGCTGGGGAGGATGTGAGGAAGCCAGCACTCACACGGGTTCATGTGTGTGACGGGAGCGTTGGCCAGGACAGATGGCAAACAGTACAGAAATACGAACAACTGATCCAGGGCCTTGGAAATAAACACAGCCCGAAAGCTGATGATTCTAGGCCTGAACACTGATCCCAAGGAAACAGCCCCTCACCCCATGTAACGAGAGCCCTGCTGAGACTCAGACCTGCTGCTGATGGTCACCGTCCATGTCCCGTTATTTTCACACCTGTCCTTGTTCACCCTGCCCCGGAAACATCCGCACGTCCACACCAGTCAGGCTCTCCTGTTGGGGGCTTTGTGCTTTCTTGAAGCAACTTCCCCAACCTTGGTATCCAGGTGTCCCCTCCTGTCCCCCTCAGAAAGGTCAGAGCTGGCCCTGGTGTCCACAGAGGTGCCTGCCCAATGCTCCCCACTCCTTTGTGTGTTTTTCTCCAGAGCACTTCTGCCCACCCATCACGGTCCAGCTCGTGGTTAGTTGCTGTTTAATCTCCCTGAACTACAGAATGCCAGCTCCTGAGGATGGGGACTTGCTCACTGCTGCATCCTCAGCACCCAGAGGAGCATCTGGTGGGCAGGAAAGGCGCGGTGGATGTGTGTTGAATGAATAAATGATGCTAACAATGGAGACGGTCCAGATGTCTGAGCCAGTGAGCGCGCAGACGCTCAACCCACCATGTGGAAACTCACGGAGAGGAAGATCTTGAGGTGGATGCACACCTGTGGTGATTAGTTACATCCCCGTGAATGTGTTCACAGCCTTTGCAAGGAGCGCAGACGCAGGGTGACAGAGGACAGAGGACACATTCTCACTCCCTGTCTCCGAGATCTGAACAGCCCAGGGTGAAACTGTTCACTCGGCAAGCCCATAAAAGAGAATCCCATGGCCCATGCACTGCTTTGGTCTGTCCCCTTGCTGGCAGGAGGGACGGGACTGGCCGGGCCTGGCTCTGGTCAGCCGCCGTTGGCAGGACCCTGCCGGTGGTCCATCATGTGTCTCTCTGTTCTAGGTCTCTCGGTGGTCGGGCAGCCCCTGGCTGGATGGCATCCAGAGTCCTTTCCATTTCCAACCGGCTTCAGCAACGTCGGCGCCTTCCTTTGAGTTGAGTCGCCTGGCCAGGGTAAGACGGTGGTGAGGGCCCCGCCAGGTCCCGTCTTTGAGCCGGAAGCAGGCAGGAGGGTGACTCACCCCGGCCCAGCCCTGGGGTGATTCTCTTTATGGATGCACCAAATGGGACAAGGCAGAACCGCAATGCAGTGGTCAGGGGCCTTCGGGGGGAACTGCCGTAAACACCTGCTAGGGATCTAAAGCAGCCTGCGAGTTTCGGGTGAACAGAGGCGTCCCTCTCACTCTGCCTAGAGCATGTGTATCTTCAGGGTCTTCACAGTGACACTGGGGACAGGGACCTTTGGAATAGTATTATGAGACCTGAAAAAAATAAAATGTGGGTGTCAGACCCATGCCAAGGCTCAATGGATCATTAGATAGTCATCATCACCGTTACCGTCACTGTTATCTCCATCCTGGCAACACGGGGGGCTCACACTTGGTGGTGTAAGTTCCATGAAATTTGACAAATGTTATGGGGACAGGATGCTCTTACTAATTGTTAATATTATCATTATTTTGCTTTGTGTATTAATTATTATTGACTATTATTATATCAATATTATTTTGGATTAATATTTATATTTATCATTAATATTTTACACTGACAAATAATTGTATATTAATATTATTATGTATTGACCAATGGTAATTGTACATTAATATTCTTTCATATTGACAAGCGAGTATATTAATTGTATATTAATATTATTTTGCACTGACAAATGATAATTGTATATTTTTGTGATGCTTTGATGCCTGTGAGCAAGGAGATGGATACGTTAATAGCTTGATTGAATCATTCCATACTGTATGTTTATCAAAACATTACACTGTCCCCTGGAGATACTTGAATCTCATCCTCCGTTGGTGGGCTTTGGGCCAAGAGGGAAGAGTGGGGTGGCTGTTTCCGGAAGCCTTTCTTCTGATGATTGTAGGAGGAATTCTCTTAGCAGCTCTCTTTCTCATTCTGAGAATATGTCTGAGTTCTGAAAGCAATGTGGCAAGGCTAAGGAGAATCCTTTGAGGGCTCAGCTATCCTGACTTCAAGGTCTTGGCACCTCCTTGGCATTGACTTAAGTACACACAAAGATCTGCACAGATGTATGCAGAGGCTGAATTCCTGAATTCCTAATCACCCCAGACTAGAAATGAATCAAATGTCTTTCAACTGAAGAACTATGAACTAACTGTGGTACATCCATTCAACGGAATACTACTGAGCCATGAAAAAGAACAAGCCAAATGGATGGTCCAAAATGCATCATGCTAAGAAGCCATCTCAAAGGCTGCAAATTGTATGATTCCATTTATGTGATGTTCTGGAAAGGGCAAGGCTGTAGGTGCAGGAAACAGGTTCCATGTTTCTCGGGATCTGGGGAAAGGGAAGCAGAGTGAGGAGTTTTTTGTGGTGATGAGACTGTCCTGAGTCTCAGTTGTGGCAATGGGTACACAGCTGTGTTTGTCAAACTCACCTAATTGTACACTTTAAAGTGGTGAATTTTATTTGTATGTACATCTTACTCTAATAAAAAATGTTTAAAATAATAATGTCATATGAATTTGTTGACAAAAAAAGGTCCATGTAAAAATATTTGTCTTTGTTTTAGGAGTTTTGGTTGCAAGTGACAGAAACCTTAACCCTTCTGCAAAACTGGGAACATGCTGGCTCATGTAACGAGAGAACCCAGAGGTAGACCTTAGGCACCACGCAACCGAGAAGGTGACAATGATGGCATCAGAACACCATCTCTGTGCATCTGCTGTCCTATGCTGGCTTCGCTTTCAGGCCAACACAAGGGACTTTAGTGATTCCCATAGGAAGAGAGAGTCTATGTTCAGACCACTCTGGCCAAAATCCCAGGTAGAACTCTGATTGGTCCAGCTTGGGTCGTGTGGGCCATCTCTGGGCCAATCAGAGGGAAGGATATTTTTTCCTGTTCGAAAGGAATGAGCTCACAAGTCACGGAAAGACTCTCAGGAAGGTTAAATGCATGTTGCTAGATAAAAGAACCAACCCGAAAAGGCTACTTTCTCTGTGATTCCAACTACATGTCTTTCCGGAAAAGGCAAAACTATGGAGATGGTAAAAAGGTCAGTGGTTGCCAGGGGTCAGTGGGGAGGGAGGGATGGACAGGTGAGCTCAGGATGTTTAGGGCGGGGAATCTCTTCTGGAGGTTACTGGTGGGCACGGTGGGCACGTGTCCCCATTGCGTCTGTCAAATTTCATGGAATGTACACCAGCAAGTGTGAGCCCTCATGTAAACTAGGGGCCTTAGTCTCATAATAAAGTCATCCCAGGGGCTCCTCAGTGGTGACAAAGGATCCAATCAGCATGGCCAGAGGGACGCCTGGCACCAAGGTGAGATGTTAGTAATAGGGGAACGGGGCTAGGGGTCGGATGTGGAAACTCTCTGCACTTTCTTCTCAATTTTCCTGTAAACCTAAGACTGCTAGCAAAAAGTAAAGTTAAAATTAACTTTAAAAAAACTGAGATGAAGTGGGAGGGATGTTGCCTGGCAAGGAACAAAGGTTCAGGCAGCGCACGTGGGTGCCCGTGGGAACGCGGTATGGACACCTGTGCACTGCACCCCCGTGAGCCTGCTGATACCGTGTGAGTGACAGCTTCGCCACAGCCTCCCCAGAGCCCACTTTTCTCTTTTTAAAACCCATTTTCTTAACGTCAAGGTGTATAACAACTCCTTCTTGCCTCTGCTGATTTTCTTTTTTTGAGATGGAGTCTAGCTCTGTCACCCAGGCTGGAGTGCAGTGACATGATATTGGCTCACTGCAACCTCTGCCTCCTGGGTTCAAGCGATTCTTCTGCCTCAACCTCCCAAATAGCTGGGACTACAGGCGTGCGCCACCATGCCTGGCTAATTTTTGTATTTTTAGTAGAGATGGGATTTCACCAAGTTGGCCAGGCTGGTCTTGAACTCTTGACCTCAGGTGATCTGCCCACCTCAGCCTCCCGAAGTGCTGGGATTACAAGCGTGAGCCACCACAGCTTGCCACTTTCACTGATTTTAACTGGAATTTTGAAAATTATCTAATAAGAGAGGCAGCGGTCACTAAACCCCCACACTAAGTTTGCAGGATTGAATTAGTGCGTAACTACACGCGTATAAACACACACACAGCCATGCACCCATGTGAGTCGGTAAGAGGAATGGAAGGGCAGATGCTGATTCTTGATGAGGGTGATCAGTGGCTGGGAGGTTGCAGGTGCTTTTTCCCCCTTTGGGCTTGCTTATCTCTGCTTTCTGAGATGTGCCTACCGAACACATATTGCTTGTGTAACTCAAATAAATAAAAAGACAGAAAGCCACACGCGAGGGAAGGAGTGAGGTCCAGCCTTTTCCTTGGCTCTGGACATCTGGAGTCAGCCGGAACCCAGGGTTGCCGCTAACGATTGAGGGGAGATTGGGAACGCGTCGAGGTAAAAGACGACGTGTTATTTTTGTAATTAAGTGTCAACGAAATGTTTTTGACATGCTTTTGTTTGTTTGTTTGTAAGTGTGTCGGTTTGGGGTCAGGGGAGAAGCAGCCAGAGATGCTGAGAAGGAACTTCCTTTTCCCTTTTCAGAGAAAAGGCTTTCTGCTTTTAAATCCACCGTTTCCTGAGGCTGGGTGCTGAGTTCAGCTGCCCCTGGAGGAGCCGCAGCTCTGGGCCCCTGGCCGACCCGCATCTTCTTGTCAGGACAGACCCCCAACAGCCAGCGGAAGCAGCTCAGGCCAGCTGTCCTGGGATGCAACATCGGACACGCACGCTGGAATTTGACCCTTTTCCTGCCTGGCACCCAGCAAAATAAACCCCAGGGCAGGGATCAAAGCCTGCAACCAGAATCCAGAAGAAAGAGGAGTGACAGATACGCCCGGGGCCACAGGCCAGTGAGGTCAGGACCTCCCAGGGACAGACGCACAGCCCAAGGTTTGGGTGTGAGAGTTCGGGCCTCAGGTAATAAAAATAAAACGGTTAAGGTGCCTGGCCGCTCAGGCCCTCACAGCGCTACCTGGGCAAGGATGGAAGAATCCTCAGATCGCCGAGGCTGCTGCTGGTTGAATCACGTCCTACCAAAATTCACGTGTTGGAGCGTTTACCCTCAGTACCTCGGGATGTGACTTTGTTTGGAGAGAGGGTCATTAGAGAGGTAATTCAGTTAAAATGAGGACAGGAGGGTGGGCCCAATCCAATGTAACTGGGATCCTTTTTAAAAGAGGAAATTTGGACACAGAGAGACACAGACGGAGGGTGCCCTGGAATCAGGAAGGCGGCCCCGTCCCATCTGGAACTTCTGCCCTCCAGAGCTGGGGGACGATACACTTCTGTGGTTTTAGCCACGCAGCCCCAGGAAACCCAACACCGTGGCCAAAACAGAGAGGTCAGCTGGCTTCTGACATCACACAGCACACTGTCGAGAGCGGGGCCTTCAACTCACCACTCGGGGACCTGGTGGGCAGAGGTGAGAGGGGCTGCCCTTCCGATATGGCTACGGCCAGACTGTCTGGGCCCAATGTCCAGCTCTGGACGTGTTACTTGACCTCTCTGTGTCTCAGTTTACCGCGCTACAAAATGGTCATAATGACAGCACCTGCCTGGTGGTGCTCTTGGAAGGATGAGAGGAGGCGATGGTGTGGGCGCCTAGACGGCCCAGGCACTGCCCTGAGTGCTGGCCATGCCGTGAATGCTCCATCTGCATGCCAGCCAGGTGTTGCCACCTCACTCTTGCTGATGGGGACCAGGAGGGTCAGAGCAGAAGGCCGTGCGTGCCCAAGGTCTCACAGCCAGGAGCCCGCCTCCCACTGGTCCCTGTGCTGCCCTGGGTGCTGCCGCTGTGCACTGGAGGGGCCGCTGGGTGGAGAAGCCAGAGGAGACGGTGCTGAGGACAGATCATGGGCGCTGCCTGCACCTGGCTCCCAGAGGACTGGGTCTCGGAGCTGCTCCACACAGACCCTGACCTTGAGGAGAGTCAGAGGCACCCCTCCCTCCTCCACTCGCTCAGGTGAGCATCCAAAGCCTCACAGGTAACCAGGAGCACAGTTGCCATGGCGATTTCAGAGGCGAGTGCAGTGTGGACCCTGGCCCTGGGAAGATGCCAGACTCACACCTTCACTCACTCACTCATTCCTTCATTTATTCCTTCTGCAGAGCTTCCCCCATGACCTACCTGGGGCCAGGACTCAGTCTAAGAGCCAAGGAAAGCGTGGTTGGGAGGAGCTTCAGGCTCTCCAGCATTCCTGCCCCCAGGCGGGCACACACCTGCCTGCGCCCCTCCGGAGTGTGGCAGCGCTGTGAAGAGGGTGCACGTGCTCCCGGGATGAGGTGACTTTACATGGCAAAGGTGGCCGGACTTCCGCAGGTCTTAATGAAGGTCCTAGTCAGTTGACCTTGAGTTAATCAAATTGGAGGTTATCCTGGGCGGGCCCAAGCTAATCAGGTGAGGCTTTTAAAAATGGTCCTGAAGTCAGAGACTCTCCTTCGAGACTGGATGCAAGCCCAGGGAGGCACAGGTGCAGGGAGATAGCTTCTTCTACCTCTGCAAGAGATTGGAAGCGGGTCCCAAACCTCAGGGGACACCCCAGCTCCGGTTGGCACCTTGACTTCAGCCCCATGAGACAGAAGACCCAGCTATGCCATGTCCTGACTCCTGACCCGCCCAAACTTTAGGACAATAGATAAATGCCATTTTAAGCTTTTAAACTGGTGACAATTTGTTAGGCAGCAATAGAAAACCCACCCAGAGGAGACATTCCTGAGCCAGGCACGGATTCCGCGGTGGAGCAGCAGGAGGGATGCTTCATCTGTCCATTCACACTCATCTCACTGTTCAGCCGGCACAGGGGCTGAGCTCCCGCTGTGTGCTGGGCATAGGGCCTGGCCTGCGGGAGCTCAGCATGTGAGTGGCCGGGCTCCTAAGGACCCACACTGGGGCCAGTGGGACTGGCACGAGTTACCGTGGGGAGAGGGGCTCTCAGAAACACCAGGTGTGCCCTACTTTGGCTGTGGAGCCTCGGCTGGGTCTGGGACAGTCACTCTGACCTGGCTACCAGGGTGCCGGGCACGGGATAGCTGTGGTCGCACCAACCTTCTCTGGTCCATCCACTCCCACCCAGGCTCCTCCCCAGGCTTTGGGCGCAGCCATCAAACCATCCCAAATCCCAGCCCCACACCGTGGGTTGGATCTGCCTGTCTTTTCCCTCAGACAGCCCCCCACGTGACTGGGCAGGTGCATGCCCAGAGCCTTGCTATGCTGTCCCGATCATCTAAGGGGCCGCCTGTCCACGCCACTGGGACAGTGTGTGGCCTGGGGGTGCTGCCCTGGGCTCCCCCGAGTTTAAACATGACCCCTGATCCTGCCTGCTGCATGGAACACACGGAGCCCTTCAGGGAACAGGGACGAAGCCCAGGCCCTGCCGCCTCCTGCGGCCCCACTACCTGTCCAGATGCCTCGTGCTCCATGGGGTCCCCAGAGCCGAGGCAGCCAAGAGTCAGCCCCAGTACTGCCAGCATGTAGGTCTGCTTGGAGCCTGGCATCCTCCACCCCTCCAAGCTGGGCCCTTCACACTTGGCCAGGAGCTTCCACCAGCGACGTCACGCTGATCCTGCCCACCACCTCGAATCAGGCCCACTCACTAGACCCACCTCAAAGGAAAAGCCACCGAGGCTCAAGCTTGGAGATGCCGCTTGTCCGAGAGCACTGAGAAAAACAGGAGAGGCCAGCAGCAGAACCCACGGCAACCCCAGGCCTTTGCTTACTCGAGCTCGGGCAGATGCGCATTTGGGTGATGTCCAGCTTGGGGCTGTTACAAATAAAGCCACTGGGAACCTTTGTGTCCAAGATCTGGGGAGGCTGCGTGCTTTAATTTCCCTTTGGAGAAGACCCAGGAGTGGGATGGCTGTGCCACTCATAGATGGACGTTTCACTGTGGAAGACTCTGCAAGAGAGTCTTCCAAAGATGTGGTACCCGTGGGGTGGGAGGGGTCCAGCAGCCCCGTGTTCTTGCTGGCACTGAATCCGTCAGTCTTTTTTATTTCAGCGTTCTACCAGCGTTCTTCATACCTGGGGAAGAGCAGGCAGGCAGTTCTGTTTCGAGGGGTGTGGCTTCAAACCCTCGCCCTTCTGCCTCCACACCATGGCCACCGGCACATGATTTAACCTCCTGCACCCCCTGCTTCTGGATGATGGGATCGCTGGATCTCACATGGCCCACAGTGGATGGTTCAGCTGACTCCCTGCCTTTCCCACTGGGCTGTACGTCCCCTGTCCTGTGGGTCTTGCCCAGACGCCGTTACTCACAGTGTCTAGACCGCTGTAGCTGCCCAGCAAGGATTTCGCTGAAGGGATGACCATCCTGGGACTGAGGTCCCAGCAACAGCATCCCTGCTCGTCCAGCTCCCCATCTCCCTCTCCCCAGCACCTTCTCCCTCATCACTGCAGCTTCCACTTTGCCCTCGCTCTCTGCAAAACAGCTGCAAGCAAGCCCAGGTCTCCTGTGCCAGGGGCCCGGGCCCAGGGGAATGGCTGCTCCATATAACCTGAGAAGTCAGAAGGGGAGTAGCCAGGTCTAGGGTGTGGCCTGGAGGAACCTGAGCTGCCGGAGGCTGCCACATGCCCGCAGCTAGTGACTGGGAACGCTGTGCGCGCCCCCGGGGCCCTTGCTTTATGGCGATGTGACCTTGGTGTGAGCGTGGTTTCTGGAGACCTCCACTGTGCTTTTAAGCGGGGCGCCAGAAAGGACAGGGCCCTGTGCGCTCCTTCCAGAGTGAGGCTTGTCCACTTACTTTATGGTGCTAGGAACTGTCTGGGATGGGGGCTGCAGGGTCGGGAAGGAGGCCATGGGGAGGGCGTGTAGGGCCCTGAACAGGACTGCCCTGCTCTGCCGCTCACATCCGGGTAACTCCATGCCTCCGTTTCCTCCCCTGTCAAATGGGTGGCAAATTCACACCCCTTTGAACAGAATACCTGCCTGGTCTTCACCCGGTGTGGAACCCAGCAGGGCTAGCCCATTCGCAGAAGAGTAAAGCAAGAACAGTTTTCCTCTTAGCTGGTCACAGACACCAGGTCCCAAGGCTGGGCTGCAGGGGCTGGGATGTCTCCCGTCACGCCCGCCCGAGAGGCAGCCCCTTGTACCGCAGCGGACGGCGTTCCTGACGCTCTCTCTCTACCTGTCACTCTTTTCCACCCTCTGCCTCCCCGGGGACACAAGGCTCTGGGGCTCAGAGGGTAACCAGGGGCTCCACCCTGGGGCTGGGGGAAGCGGTTTTTCCCTGTGTGTCCCTGGAGGGGCCCTGAGTTTCCACTTCTCCGTGGCGCAGCAGCTTCCACACAAACCCTGACTCTCACGACTAGAGGCGACATCCCCTTCCTCCCTCTGAACCCTCATCTCTGTCGCCAGGTCTCTCTTCATGGACCAGGCTGCTGGTGGGGTGAGGCTGTGGATCTGCAGAGACAGGACGCACAGGTCTGTGGGTGAATTCCTGATCGTGGATATGGACGGGGAGAAGCCAGGAGATCATAGAGGTTTCTGGAAGGAGCTAGTGGAGGGGGGGGCGGGGTTTACTGAGATGGGGAAGACAGGGGGTGGGGAAGACAGGGGGTGGAGGGGGGCGGATTGCCTGGGAAAGGACTGGACATCAGCTTGGACATGATCTGCTTGACATGTCTGGGAGACCCCAAAGGGAGATGTCAAGTGGTGGCCGGATATGTAGGTCCAGAGTTCAGGGGAGAGGTTGTGGCTGGAGAGACATATTTGGAAGTCATTGGCATAAGGATATTTCAATCCATGGGAACAGATGAGGTCATCCAGGGAGAAGAAGGGTAGAGAGAAAAGAGAAGAAACCAAGGAACCCTCAAATCCCATGGGACCAGAAGCCCCATGCGATCAGGGATTGTAGTGTTTCATGCATCGCGGCACCCCAGCCTCAGAGGCGTGCCCCCGAGGCACCCCCCAAATCCTTGCTGATTGCAGGAGCCACGGCGTCTAGGGGTCTACAGGGGAGCAGCTAGTGGGGCTGCAGGAAAAGCGGGGAGTGGGGAACTGGAGATCCTGGGAGAAGAGAGCGCTGGGAGGACGCAGCGGCCTCCTGGAGCGGAGGGAAGCGTGGGCCTTACGATGAGGGCTGCAGAGTCTGGGGAGGTCTCTGATGAAACCACCTGCATATATTTGCAGGCCAAGGCCAGGAAGTCCTTGAGAAGGGGTAGGAGCAGGATAGGATCACAATGGGGAAATAGGGGAATGAGACCAGAGACGGGCAGCATTGGACACACAGGGAAACTGAGGCCAGGGGAGCAGACATGGCTGCCCTAGCCACGGTGCCAGAGAGAGGAGCCGATGAGCACCCAGACAGCCGGGGGCAAAGTGCAGAGGCTCAACCTCCAGGATATCTGCACAGCCAGGAGGATCAGCCACGGCTTTCAGGACTTTTCTTTCTTTGTCTCTATTTGTGAAATTAAAATTCAGTGCTCAAATCAGCTAGGGAAGCCGGAGCGCTGTTCCCAACCCCGACAGGACCCACACCTCCCCATGCCCGGCCCCACCCCGGCTCAGGCAGGACCCTCTGGATTTCCAGGGCCGGGCCCTTCCCGCTCTGGCTCCAACTTCCAGGCCCCAGGCCCCGGGGCACCTACCTCGGTGCTGGGAAGCTGACGTGGGGAGGCACGGGCCGTCGGCGAGCCAAGGAGGGGCCTAGGCCAGTTCCTTCCCCGCAGCCTCAGAAAGCGCCTCTGCTGACACCCTGACCTTGGACTTCTACTGATCAAGCTGCCTGGTCTGCGGCTCTTTGCGGCCAGGATGTGGGGCTTGTACTCTCCACGTGTCCAGGGCTCTGGAGCCCAGTACTGGGGACCCCGCCCATGTTACGACCTCCACTTTCCAGGGAACAGGCTCACAGAGCTGCAGTCACTTGGCCAAGGCCCACCGACCGTGGCCCAGGCTGGCTAGGCTCTGGGCACAGAGCGCTTCCTTCTCCTCCACGGGGCCGCTGACCTCACCAGGTGGACGGGGTTGGAGCACTGGGCAGAGAGGGGGAGTGAGCCGGTGCACCTGCCTGGTCCCTGCTGCATTTCTCACAGCTGACAGGGCAGACAGGTGGAGACACAGCCGCCCAGCCCTGCAGCCGGCATCCCAGGAATGAGGTGAGCCACCCACGCCACCGCCCCCACCCCAGCTGGGTGTGCTGTGCTGGCCCTGGGCCCTCCTGCCCTTCCCTCCAAGCCCCTCAGGTTGCCCAGCTCCCAGGGCCACGGCGTTCACTATTCCTTCTACAGGGGAAGAAAGGCCAGGACCAGGGGCTGGCCTGGGCCCGCACCACCCGTGACTCCCGCTCAAATGGCCTGAGGGCTGCTGCTCTGCCCTTAGAGGAAAGGAGCCTTTTAGAGAGACAGGAGCAAAGAGAGAGCAAGAGGAAGAGAGAGACAGAGACACAGAGAGAGACAGAGACAGAGAGAGTCTGGGGGAGAGGGAGAGAGACAGAGAGAGGGTCAGAGACAGAGAACGATCCAACCCAAATATTCTGTTCCAGTTCTGAGCGCAGCTTGGAGGTGCCTCCCTGCTAGGGAAGGGGGTTCCAGGCTCCAGTGAGTGTTTTTAGTGAAGAATCCCTGAAAGTCCCCTAGAGAATTGTGGGTGCCTCTCCCGCCCACCCGTTCTTCTCGGGACACTTGCTGAGTGGATACCTGGCTCCCCTGAATAAATCTCCAGAGACTTCTAGGCAGAGGGCAGGTCCACGTCCAGACAACAGGCTTCGCCACCAGAGTGACCCTCAGGGTGGGTCAGAATTGGGGGGGGCAGGAAGGTCACTCCCTTTCTTTGAAGACAAGGGGTCAACGGGCGTGGGGAGGGGACTTCCCCTTGATCACCTCCTCCTCCCCTCCCCTGCTGCACTGGGGCCCCAGCGGGCTCCCTGTCCTCATGCAAACCAGGCTGTACGGCCTGATCCTCTAGGGAGAGTCTGGCACGTGGGAGGGAGAGTCCCGACCGCAGGGGAGACACGCAAGACGGGGTGGCCCTGAGGGACGGTGGCCCTGAGGGAGGGTGGCCCTGAGAGAGGGGTGGCCCTGAGGGAGGGTGGTCTGCAGGGAGACTTCAGCCTCCCAAGCCAGGTGGCCACGGCTCCTCTAAGTCACATCCCATCCCCGGGTCCAAAGCACAGGCTCTGATCACAGTGTGGCCCCGCAAAGGCTGGGCCTGTGTGGACACGCTTTTTGCTTACTGCTTCCACTAACCCCACAAAGAAGACAGCTCTGGAGAGAGACCCAAGATGGCTGATCACTAGCAGCTCGGGATTGCAGCTCCCAGTGAAAGTGCAGAGAACGAGAGGACGCCACACCTTCACGTGAATTCTTGTTGCTCACGCACCAGGAGATTCCCAGCGGAGGAGCCCCACGGGTCGCCAGCGCGACTCTTGTGACCGGCGAGGCGGTTTTGCCGGCGCCTCGGAGCGTCGGTTCTTGGTGCAGAGTCAGAAAAGCACCATCAATCTTAACGCCGCTGATTGAGTCGGCGCAGTGGGTTGCTCAGATTTCGACGCTGAGAATCAGTAAGTTGGACGTCCACTCAGAAACCTAATTACAAAGATGGTAAATACAAAGACCACAGATGGATACATCTACAACGAAGGGAAGAAAACAGCCAAAAAAGGCTGCGAATAACCAGAATCAGAACGCCTCTCCCTCAGCAGGCGATCACAGTTCCTCATCAGCAACGGAACAAGGCTTGATGGAGAACGAGTGTGTTCCATTATCAGAAGCAGGCTTCAAAAGGTGGATGATAAGAAACTTCTGTGAATTAAAAGAACTTGTTCTAACCCAATGCAAAGAAACTAAGAACTTTGAAAAAAGGTTTGACGAAATGTTAATAAGAATACACAATTAAGAGAGGAAAATAAGTGAATTGATGGAGCTGAAAAACACAATACGAGAACTTCGTGAAGTATGCACAAGTTTTAACAGCCGAATTGATCAAGCAGAAGAAAGGATATCAGAGGTCGAAGACCAACTCAATGAAATAAAACTAGAAGACAAGATTAGAGAAAAAAGGATAAAAAGGAACGAGCAAAGTCTCCAAGAAATATGGGACTATATGAAAAGACCTAATCTACGCTTGATAGGTGTACCTGAACGTGACGAAGAGAATGAATCCAAGCTGGAAAATACGCTTCAGGATATTATTCAGGAAAACTTTCCCAACTTTGCAAGGCAGGATAATATTCAACTCCAGGTAATACAGAGAACACCACAAGGATACTCCTCAAAAAGACCAACCTCAAGGCACATAATCGTCAGATTCACCAGGGTTGAAATGAAAGAGAAAATACTGAGGGCAGCCAGAGAGAAAGGTCAGGTTACTCATAAAGGGAAGCCTATCAGACTCACAGCAGATCTCTCAGCAGAAACCCTACAAGCCAGAAGAGAGTGGGGACCAATATTCAACATCCTTAAAGAAAAGAACTTTCAGCCAAGAATTTCACATCCAGCCAAATTAAGCTTCATAAGCGAAGGAAAAATAAAATCTTTTGTGAACAAGCAAGCGCTCAGAGATTTCATCACCAAAAGGCCTGCTTTACAAGAGCTTCTGAAAGAACCACTACACATAGAAAGGAACAAACAGTATCAGCCTTTCTGAAAAATACCAAAAAGTAACGAGCATCAACATAATCAAGAGTTTACGTCAACTAATGGGCAAAACAGCCAGCTAACATTAAATGGCAGTATTAAACCCACGTATATCATTATTAATTCTAAATTGAAATTGACTAAATCCCCCAATCCAAAGACAGACAGGCAATTTGGATAAAAAACTAAAACCCATCGGTATGCTGCATCCAGACCCATCTCACATTCAAGGTTACACAAAGACTCAAAACAAGGGATGGAGAAAGATTTACCAACCAACCAGAGAGCAAAAATAAATAAATAAAAAGCAGAAGTTACAATTTTGGCCTCTGATAAAATAGTCGTTAAAGCAACAAAGATCAAAAGAAGCAAAGAAGGACATTATATAATGATCAAAGGATCAATGCAACAACAAGAAGAGCTAAAGATCCTGAATATATACGCACCCAATACAGGAATACCCAGACATACAAGACTCATAAAGAGACTTAGACTCCCACACAATAATAGTGGGAGACTTCACCATTAACATTAGACAGATCAATGAGACAGAAAATCAACGATATCCAGGATTTGAACTAAACTTAATTGACATTTATAGAGCTCTCCACTTTAAATACACAAAATATACACTCTTATCAGCACCACATCACACCTATTTACAGGTTTAAATGAGATATTGGTTGGCGGCTTGTTTGTTATTTTCTTCCCTCATTTCCTTTCATGTCTTTATTATTAAGCACAATTATAGGCACACCCATTTTTAGACTGGATTCTAGCCCGGGCAATAAAGCAACACCCCCGTTCTCTTTCTCTCTTCCTCTTTCTTCCTCTCCTTCATGTTTATTATTATTTTTTTTATTCTTTCTTTCTCCTTTTCTTTTTTTATTTAAAAAAAAAAAAAAAGAAGACGACAGCTCCATTTCGCCGATGAGGAACCTGAGTCCTGAGAGGTTGAAAGACTCAGCTAGGGGCATGGGATTGCAGTGGGCAAGGCCAGACTCCTTCCGTGGTGCACCCTGGCACTCGGCAGAGGCTCTGAATAGCTAACCAGGACTGCGCTGAGAGGGCCCTGCTCTTTCCGTGTGGACGTGGAATTGAGTCAGCCTTGGCGGTGCCAGAGAGAGACGGGTGGAGAGGCCACCAGAACCTCCCGGCTCCCGGCGGCTCAGGTGTGGCCCGGTGCGAAAACCTCAACCCTCCCAGATTCGAGGTGCTGAAGGCTCCTCTTGTTCCCCGATCAGCCAGGCATTGGCTCCAGGACCAAGGCGGGGCCCATGTAGGGTCTGGTTGGTAGGCCGGGCCTGCCCACGGCCCTGACAGCCCCTGTTGTCCTAGACAGGGAGTCGGGGACAGGTATTCAGGGCCGGGAGAGGTATTCCCAGGACAGGCGGGCTGTGGGGTGTGTGGGCGCTCCCGGGAGGTCCTGGCAGCCTCTGAGTGCAGACCAGCCCTGCAGACAAAGCAGAGAGCGCAGCAGTCAGCCCCCAGACCCACCGCTGGTGCCCAGACGCACTGGGTCCTCGGTCTGAGGAAGCCCCTTGCCCCTAGAGTTCGCCTCTTATCCTTGGGAACACAGCAAGACAGAGTGGCCAGATTCCCTGCTGCGCTCGGCACAGACATCCCACGTGCACCCAGAGTCCCCCCAGGGACCACCCCAAGGCTCCAGCTCCCCCTTCACCCCTTGCAAGGCACACATTTACCCTCCTCCCAGGGCCACCTCTGCCTCCCTGAACCCAGGCAGCGTCCATGAGCCCCCCTTGGTCCTGTGGGGAACTCTCTCACTCCCAGCCCTAGAACCTCTGCTGGCCTCTGCTGTCTGCAGAACAAAGCCCTGAGACCTGCCACGCCTGGCCCTCCCGGCCTCATCCTGAGGCACTCAGCCCTCCACCCTCAAGGCCTCCAACACAACTGCCATCTTGCCCCTGTAGGCCCCGCATGGGGCCCTGCACCTCCGTCCATCTGAGCTTCCTGCCTGGACTCCCCTTCCTCCCAGCAATGACTCCCCTTAAGACCCAACTTACACCCCCTCCTGCAGGAAGTCCTCCAGTTGTCCTGGTGGTGCCTTCTGCCTGTCCCTCCTACTTGGAGCCCTGGAGTGGCTGGATGCCGCACCCATTCGCCCCCCGACACCAAAGAGTACAGCCAGGGGGAGCCTGTGAGTGTGACCTTTTTTGCAGTGAAGGTGAAAGATCTCAGGATGAGATCATCCCGGACTAGGGTGGGCCCTAAATACAATGACAGGTGGCCTTATAAGAAGAAGAAAGGACAAAGAGACACTGGGGAGAGGGTCTCCTGTGTCAAGCTGGCTTTGAGGCCGAGCAAGGAGCCAGTGACCTTGGGTGAACTTGGGCATGCTGGGTGTAGACTCTGGCCCGGGATCGTCTGTTCCCACCTCTCGCTTTCCTCAGAGAGCCCCATAAAGAGCAAGGCCACATGATGCTGGAGGCAGACGGTGAAGCGATGAGGCCACAAGCCAGGGGACGCCAAGGGCAGCCGAAGCCACCAGAAACCAGGAGAGGAGCCAGGGATGCGTTCCTCCTCACAGCCCTCGGAGAAGCCAACCCTGCTGACACCTTGATCTTTCCTTCCAGCTTCCAGAACGGTGTGAGAGTAAGTTTCTGCCATAGGAAACCCCCAGGGTGTGGTGATGTGTCCAGCAGTTCCCGACACTGTCAAAAGCTCTATCCCACCGACCTCTCCTCCCATCAGCCGTGACCTCACGTTCTTCTCCTGGACTCTGTTGGATTCATGGCAAGAACGTCTCAATGAATGCATGTTAAAGGAATGATCTGCTTGGGTGCTTCACCAACTCCTGCTTCCAGCTGAAGGCTCAGCTCCTCCCAAGGGCTTCTCTGGATGGTTCATCCGACTTCTGGTGAACATAATAAGAGCAGGAAGTCAAGGCTGAGGTCCTGGTGCGTAAGCAGGAATTATGTACTGATCAGCGTTCCGGGTGGGCTATTGTAACAAAGACTGTAAAATACAGTAGCAGAAGCCAGGCTGCTCATTTCTCTCTCCCGTAGGAGCCCATGTAGTCAATCCAGGACAAATATGGCAGCATGGGCCAGGTGTGGTGGCTCAAGCCTGTAATGTCAGCACTTTGGGTGGCCAGGGCAGGTGGATCACCTGAGGTCAGGAGTTCGAGACCAGCCTGGCCAACATGGTGAAGCCCCATCTCTACTAAAAATACACAAACTTAGCTGGGAGTGGTGACACACACCTGTAATCCCAGCTACTCGGGAGGCTGAGGCAGGAGAATTGCTTGAACCCTGGAGGTGGAGGTTGTAGTGAGCCGAGATCGCACCACTGCACGCTAACCTGGGCAACAAGAGCGAAACTCCGTCTTAAAAACAGAAACAAGAAAAAACAAATGAAAAACAAATATGGCGGCATGCACTCGTGACCCAGGCTCTCTCACACCTCAGGGTTGTCCTGTCTACAAGAGACAAATTGACTCATGCCTCATTTATACCCCAGGCCGTGGAAGGGAAAGAAGGGAAAGGCGGATTGTCCAGAGGCAGGCTGCGGCCATTGCACGTGACCCCTTCACCCTCAGATCTATCACGCTGTCCAGCACACGGAGGACAGCTCACAGTCCATCCGCCAGGGTATCGTGTGGCGGGACCCAGCCACACACAGGAAGGCTGGGAAATGAAGCTTTAGCCAGGCTGCCGCCGCCCAGCTCAAACTGCTCTCTGGAGAGCAGGTCTCGAAGTGTGGTTTCAGGAGGTCTGAGAAGCTGACGTTAATTTCATGAAGACTGAGGCATGATTTGCCTTTTTTCCTTTCATTCTCTCATGAGCATCCAGTGGAGTTTTCCAGAGGCTATGGGACCGAGGATGACACCATCACCCTGAGAGCTAATGCAACGTATGCTTGCACAGTCATGCATTTGACAAATTCCTATGTTTTCATTTCTAACTCAGTACGTATCAGTAGATAAAACCCACATCAACAAAATCTGTCTGGGGTCCTTAATAACTTTTCATGGGAAAATGGGTCCCGAGACCAGAAATTTTACAAACCGCTAAACTAGAAGACTGAAAACAGATATTGCGTATTGGATTGGCAGAAATAGATGCTATAGGCTGGGCATGGTGGCTTATGCCTGTAATCCCAGCACTTTGGGAGGCCAAGACAGGTGGATCACCTGAGGTCAGGAGTTCGAGACCAACCTGGCCAACATGGTGAAACCCCTTTCCTACTAAAAATACAAAAATTACCTGGGCGTGGCACACTCCTGTAACCCCAGCTACTTAGGAGGCTGAGGCAAGAGAATTGCTTGAGCCCAGGAGGTGGAGGTTGCAGTGAGCCGAGATCACGGCATTTGCAGTCCAACCTGGGTGAAAGAGCAAGACTCCATCTCAAAAAAAAAAAAAAAAAAAAGATGCTACAACTGGAAATCTACATGAATTTGTGTCAGGCCGACCTCTGCTGCATACTCATGGCCTCATGAAACTGCCTGGGAGACCAGAGTCTGGCTCATAGAAATTTGGGAACAGATACATTTCTCACCAGTTCTGATCCTAACCACTGCAGCAATGAGTCAGTGCCTGCTGGGTGCTCAGTGATCTGCCTGCATTGGCCTCCTCGCTCCGGAGCGTTCGGCACCTGGGTGTACCCATCCCCCGTGGCATGAGGCAGAGCTAGGTTCCAGCCCTAGGCAAACCACCCCCAAATTGCGGGACCCTTTGCAGATTACTCTGAACCTCAGTTTTTCTCATCTTTAAAATGGGGCTTGTCCAGGAGACACAGGAAGCAGTTTGCACAGTTCTAATTCGGAAGTTCTGTAAAAGGTCAACCCCAGCCCTGTACCTGGGAGGTGTGTTGGCAGAGAAGTCCTGCGGGGGAGGAGTCGAGTGACTGAAATGCTCTGAAATCTCACTCTGCACCTCACCAGCCTTCCATGGTTCCCCAAGGCTCAGGACACTGCCTCACTTTGGCATTCAAGGCCTTTCTCATCCTGGCCTCAGTCCACCTTGAAGAGCACTTTCTAGACAGCTTTGAATTCTGGCTTCTGCTGAGTCTAATTTTCCCAAGCAGGGGGTCTTCCCCCGAAGAGCAGGCCGTTCTGTCAGCCACACAGTCACTTCATCTGGGGAGGGAGGCCGGAAGCTGGCCCATTCACCACGCTCTCCCCAGTGAGCATTTTGTAAACACATGCTTTCTTTATAACATCAGCAAACAGAATGTGTTTTCCTACTTAACAGGAAATGCAGCGGAATGGCTGGGTTCCCCGACAGGGGCCCCAGCCGTTTCATGCACGTGGCATATGAAGCTAGGACAAGGCCAGTGACCAAAAGGGGTGGCCAAGGCCCTCTGGTTTGCAGGAGGAGTTGCCAGCAGTTTGCACGTGTCCGCACCCCAGCACTGGCCAGGAAGGGGCCCCACCTCCTCCCCCCGCCCTGCCTTTGTCCCCAGCAGGGTTGCCTGCTTACACGGGAAGGCTGCAATTCTTTCCCTGGAACTGGAGTCAGCCCAGGCCATAGGCAAAGAAATTCATTTCTAGCTATGCAAGCCCTTTCACTGTCACGAGATCTTAAATGTCAACCCTGGAAGCCCAAGGGCTGTTGTCAGGAGCCCCAGCCAAGCCTCAGACGGACACAATTGCACCAGAACCCTGAACGGTCTCGGGAAAAAATAAATAAATAAATAAATAAATAAATAAATCCCCTTTTCCTCCTCCTTCGGGGGAGGGGGCCCCCGCAAGGTAGGCGGCGGCTGCAGGCAGCTGAGGCTGCGCCATTCACGGCTGCAGGACCGAGACCCCACGCAGAGCGGAGACCAGGCGGCCGCGGCCTCTGATTGGGCGTCGCGGCCGGGGACTCAGCCAATCGGCTGTCTGGGAAGCGAGGCCATTCAAGAAAGCGCCGCGGAGAGGAAGCGCGGGGGCGGGGAGCGCGCGTGGTTAGCGCGCGGGGGGGGGGGGGGGGCGCCATCAGGGCGCGGCGGGGCCTGCCCGGGGCCATGCGGCAGGCTCGGGCGGCGCGGGCCCCTCGCAGGGAAGACCCCGGCCGGAGGCTGCGGAAGAAGCCAGGCTTTCTGGAAGCGCGTCCCGGGCAGGGCCTGGCCGCCAAACGCCGCCTGCTTCAGTCCACTGTGGCCATGAAGTCATTTTTCGCCCCCCCCCCCCTGCTGATTGAAATCATCTGTTTTCAGTTCCCTGACACATTCATTGAGTTCCCTGTGAGGCCGGGGCCCCTCGGCTGCGGAGTCTCGGCCTGTAGCTGCAGCCCAGACCCACACCATGTCATCTTCTTGGATTGACACGGTCTCCGGTTTCCAGAGCCGCAGTCAAAGGCGCGTTTGTGTGGGGGGTGCGGGGTGAGGTTCAGCAGCCCTGGCCCTGGGAGAAGGCTTCTAGGATGGCCGTCTGCCGGGCTCCGGGCCCCGAACCCTGGCTTTCGGGTCGGTGAGGTTCCCGGAATCCTCCACATCAGCTCTCTGAAAAGGGAAACGGCCCAGTGCAACGCTCTGCACGATGAGCGTTCATTTCCTCCTGGGATCGAGCAAGTGGCTGAAAACTACGCTCATGCAAGCGGCCCACGTAGAGTAGAGCTGCGCTTGCGTGGAGGTGAGGGCTCCGCTTTTGCACGTACCCGGGGGAAGCGTGGGGTGGCAGCCTGCTGATGGGGGCCGCGACCCCACAGCCTTACCTGCGTCCTCTTCTGTAAAATGGGCATAGGAGAACCCAGCCCTCGGTCGTGCAAGCGTCCAGGAAAATCGCAAGCGCAGGGGCCCAGCGCAGTGCCTAGCACGGAGGTGAGTCACCAACGTAATTGGTGGTGGTGACGTGAGCAGTGACAGAGAGGACAAAAGCGAGGCTTAATTTCATTTCCGGGCCTGACACAGCTCCTGCAGCGGGGCGCTGGGCGCTGGAGCCCCGGGGACCCCCCCCACTTCTCACGCCACTGTCACCTCCAGCCATGCACCTGAGCCATTGGGAGCATGAGCACCAGGAAACTTTACTCAAAGGAAAGGTATCTTCGAGGCAAGTGTTTCGCAAACGCCTTCCAGGCTGTCAATAACGAGTCCTTGCTTCTTGTCTTCCAAGTGTGTTACATAAGCCTAAGTGGTTGGTCAAAACACACACGCACACGCACACGCACACGCACACGTGGCAGGAGACAGTGGATGGGCAGGTTCTGCAGCTGTTCAAACTTTCTCGGCCGCCTTCCCAGGCCATGAGGACTCCCCACTCACGGGCCTGTCCAACCATGCTGGGGAATGCAAGGTATGAGATCCAGGAGAGAGGAGCGCGGGAAGCCCTGGCTGCAGGGAGGCGGAGGGCAGGGCCTGACGGGCTCTTCCCAGGGGCCGGCACCCCTCCCGCTGGCGGGACCTGGCTTTCACCCCAGCAGCCTCTGTTTGGTGGGGGCAGAGAGGCGCCCCTGCCTGTGGGCCCCTCATGTGGGCTCTGCAGCACCCATGCTGGAAGAGAGTGCACACAGAGGGATACAGCACCAAGACCTGGCATTGGACAGGAGAGTGGCCTCCCACAGCTGGTCCCTCCACAGGCCACGTGAGCCGGGGAGGTGGGGGCTGCCTCCTGCAAATAGAGGAAGCAGACAGAGGAGCTGGGCAGCGTGGGGCGGCCGGATCCTACCCACTCCTCATTTCTGCTCTGGGCTAGACTGGCTTCCCTTTTCTCCTGTTGTTTTAAACGGATGGTGTTGGGGTAGAAAGGCCCAGGGGCCTCCTTCTGCCTCCGCGTTCTGGCTTCCACAATGCAGACAAAACTTAAAAATCTCTGGGGTTCATTTTAGCGTGGGTGGAAGAGGCCTGGAGAAACCCGAGGTCACTGCAGACTGGCACCTCCCTGGGCCT